GGGGCGCAGGGCTCCTGCTGCGAGCCCATAAAACCCGGCTCCGGGCGCTGCGCTCCCGCTGCCTCTGGTCGCTGCTCCCGGGGGCTGGCGCTGGCTTGGCAGGGTCATCCAGCACGCGACGCTGATGGTGTGGACCTCGCCTCCAAGCAAGCTTAGGGACATCCGCTTTCCACTTCCAGAAAAGTTGGGAGAAAGTGACTTTGGGGTGGATTGGGAAGTGGTAGCAGCTCCCCAGGCTTCTTTCCTTCCAGAAGCCTCACCCTGCACAGCCCCATCCATTCTTCTTTTCCTGACACCCTGTCTCCCTGAGCCCTTCTCTCTCTTCTCCTAGGTCTCCCCTCCACGTCGTCGATCAGCCTCTTCTCCGTCCTTGCCTCTTTCTCTCTCCTCCCCTCTATCCCCAACCTCTTAACTATTTCTATTTTCACCATCTTCCTGCCATCCCCCTTCTCTTCTCTCCCCGTCTGAAACCTTTCCCTCCCCACTCCGTTTCAGCCATCAAACGTCTCCACTAGCCTCCACACCAACCGTAGGTCTTTCCCTCTCCCTCCTCCCCTCCCCTCCCCCCACCCGCAGCACACTCAACCATGGATTCTGGGCCTGCCTGGGCTGCTAACCCCACTCCCGGTGGCACCTTCTCCGTCCCCAATGCCACCACACCCTGGATGGGACGGGATGAGGAGCTGGCCAAGGTGGAGATCGGAGTCCTGGCCGCGGTCCTGGTGCTGGCGACAGGGGGCAATCTGACTGTGCTGCTGACCCTGGGACAGCCAGGCCGCAAGCGCTCCCGCATGCACCTGTTTGTTCTGCACCTAGCCGTGACTGACCTGGGTGTGGCCCTGTTTCAGGTGCTGCCCCAGCTGCTGTGGGACATCACCTACCGTTTCCAGGGCCCTGACCTCCTCTGCCGGGCCGTCAAGTATCTGCAGGTGCTCAGCATGTTCGCCTCCACCTACATGCTACTGGCCATGACGCTGGACCGCTACCTGGCTGTTTGTCACCCCCTGCGCAGCCTCCAGCAGCCCAGCCAGTCCACTTACCCTCTCATCGCCGCTCCCTGGCTGCTGGCTGCCATCCTCAGCCTGCCTCAGATCTTCATCTTTTCTTTGCGGGAGGTGTTCCAGGGCACAGGGGTGCTGGACTGCTGGGCAGACTTCCGCTTCCCTTGGGGGCCTCGGGTCTATATCACCTGGACCACCCTGGCCATCTTTGTCCTGCCTGTGGTCATGCTCACGGCCTGCTACAGCCTCATCTACCACGAGATCTGTAAGAACCTCAAAGTCAAGACGCAGGCCCGCAAGGTGGAAGGAAGGGGCTGGAGGACTTGGGACAGGATGTCGCCTTCTGTCCCAGCTGCCGCCACACGGGGCCTGCCATCCCGGGTCAGCAGCATCAGTACCATCTCGAGGGCTAAGATCCGAACCGTGAAGATGACTTTCGTCATTGTGCTGGCCTACATTGCCTGCTGGGCACCCTTCTTCAGCGTCCAGATGTGGTCCGTGTGGGACAAAGATGCCCCTGACGAAGGCAAGTGTGTGTCCGTGTGGGAGGCGTGAGTGGAAAGGAGCAGGGAAGGGAGAAAGCAGGGCAACGAGGGGGTTATAAGGCCTTCCGGGCCAGGCAGGTAACAGATGAGTGAAGCAATTATGAAAGGGGTGGGGGTGTCCCTGTTTCATGTGAGAAGCTACAACTCCTGACCAGCCTCCTGATGCTGTGTGAGTATCTTTTATGTAAAATCTCCACACTTTACAATTTGGGCACCTAATTTAAACATTTAAAAATAACATGTGGCCTTAATGAAGCATGACTGTTGGCAGTTTTGGTCAGTCAACTCCCAGTTTCATACATGAGCATTAGAATCATAGAATGACCGCGTTGAAAAGAATTTTCAAATTGTCCAGGATGACAATCTGTGACCCATGAGCTGTGTTTGTCGGTGCTCTTCCCTTTCGAGGCTGGACAAGACTTTAAACTCCTTCCCAACAACCACTTCTAATTAATTAGCATGTTGGCACACGACAACCCTGAAATTTCAAGCCTGAAATTTTAACCCCTTCATTTGGCTAATGGGAGAGAGAGGCTCAGAGAGAAAATGTGACTTGCCCAAGGCCACACAGCTAGGGAGTGGCAAAGTGAGGGGTAGAACCCAGGCCTGCTGTGTCTTCGTCTTTTTCCTTTACCCTACGCCCTGTTCATAATCCTGACTCTGGAAGTGGTGAAGAGAGGGGACTTCCTCCTCTAGGTGAAAAACAAAATGGGACCCACCATGAAGACCATGTTCCAATTGGCACATGGGAGGCCGTGCTATTGTCTTTTTTCTGGGGGGAGGTAGATGGCAGCCTCCTGAGCTTTAGATACTGCCAGATGGTCCAGCTATCTGGGGTTGAGTGTGTACTCAGGAAGGTAGGGCTGTGTCTGGGCAGCCTAAATGTTGGAGAGTAGTGTTCCTTCTCTCCTAAGAAGAGTGCGGCATGGGGACACGTGCAAGTCAACCCATCTGGGTGTTTGTGGCTGGGGTGACTGTGTGTTCTCCAGTGCACGTCTTGTGCATAGCCTGGGATGTATATTGGGTACAGCATGTGACTGCCCTAGGGAGGCCCTGTGCACAGGTTTTGGAAGCTGGAAGCTTCCTGAGAGTTTGCTGACCAGCAGATCCAGGCTACCAATTCCTACCAGCCCTTAGGGAGTGGTTCCCCCTTCCCTTGTGCTTTTGTTTCTAACCTCATTTTGCTCATCCTGGGACACTCTCAAGCCAAATATACTTTGCTTTTCTGGAGAGATTAAATAAGGGCCAGGCTGTTCATGAATTTAACACAACCCTGCAAGAGAATTGTGAGAATAATACCAAACTATTATGGTCCCATTTTATCCCTTCTTTTGGACATCCATTTGGACAAGAGGCTCTTTGCAAATTACCCTTTAAGCAATGAATGTATTGATTCTAACCAACTGTAGAGACCACCCTGCTTTACTCACACACAGAATAGAAGGAGAGAGGGCTTCCTAGTGCCAAGCACATTCAGTCCTTGGTGGCCTTCTCTGCTGTATGTCTGAGTAATCCAAGACTCGCAGAGGGGAAAACACTGGTCCAAAGTGCCACTGCTAGTAAGAGGTGGGGCCAGGACCTGAGTCAAGGTCTTTATAGGTCAAGCATTATCCATGGCATGGCTTTACTCTCAGTCCAGCTTAGCTAATGACGCAGGGTGGGGGGCAGGGCATAGTCAGTTGCCCCTTTATCAAGGAACCTACAAGAGGATGCAGACCCTGCCACCCAGCCAGTGCAGGCTTCCCTGCTTGCCTGCTGTGTCACTATGATCACAAGCCTGTCCCTCCGTACACGTCCCTCACCTGTGTACCAAGGGCCTCTCTGAGCCAAGAGAACAGAGACAAAGTGTTACCTTACAGACAATATGCTCTCTCAGAAAAGCGGAAGCCCTTTGGGGCCCTTCTAGTTGGGCTGAGATCCATTACTTTAAACTTACTTTCCAGTACACCCAGTTCCTCTCCATAGCACGCCAACCTCCTGACCTCCTGTCCCTGAGTGTCTGGTTAGAGTCTACCTGTCTCCTGGGCCTTGCTCTTGCCCCCCAACTCTCGGCTGAGTTTCTGCCAAGACGCGGTGGCTGCCTAGGGTTGAGCATTGTGGGTCTGCCCTCAAGGGCTGAGAGGTGGAGCCTCTGTAGACTCTGGTGTTCATGGCACATCTCCAGGCCCTGCGTTGGGCCTGGCTTAGATGGGGCCAAATCAAACAGATGTTTCTCAGGCAAGGCGCTTGTGGAACCCCTCCATCCCTGGCCTAATCTAGGCACTAAATATGTATCGATAGAGTGGATAGGGTGAACACCACCCCGTTGGCCAAAGCAACCTCCCACAACTTCCACATCATCCAGGTTTTATGTTAGCTGGGGAGCAGGCCAGGATGTAGGAAAAATGAAGGAGGATCTATTTTTATTGAGGCTGGTCCCTCCACTACCGACAGGTACTCGCCCCTTGCCCTCACTTCTCTGCCTTACATGGGTCAATCCAGACGCCTTCAGCTTCTCACCCCTGTGATCTACGTCTTCTGTCAAATGTTCTTCCCTCTGCTTGGGCCATGAGTAGCCACACCTAGGAGCACACCTATGGGAGAACCAGAGTATCTGAAGACGTCACAGTGCTTTACAGAGGAGGCAAAGGGCTTTGCCTTTGAGTGTGTTGGCTGAAACTTCACAGAGGCACAGGACTGCTGTCTTAGAGTCAGTAGACCTGGCTTCGAGTCTATGCTTCCTTAAAGCTCTGACATTGCTTTCAATGATTCTATAGCCTCTGCCAAAGGGCAAGGTAATGCAGTGTGCAATCTACGCCTCATGTAACAGGGTGTGTCTAGCCAGAGGTCAAGGCCTGTCCCAGAAGCTTTCCTCCTGGCATGTGGAGCTCATGTAGTCTTAAGAAAGAATACTGTGTCTGGAAAAAAATCTTACCAGTTTGCACTCTCCCCTTTTGACCGTCCAAGAGAGAAGTTCATTTTTCCCTGCAGGAAGGTCCATTCCCTGGGTATAATCTCTGAGGACACAGAACAAGTATTCATCCAGAAAGGGATGCTTGGGGGCCCTTTACCTGGAAGCTGACCCTCCACTGCAGTTGGAGATGATGCCATGGCACCTGCAGGGCAGTTAGACTCTAGATTGCCCACCCAGGTCCCCAGCAATGGCCTGGCACTGTCTGTGCTCTCATGCTCAATGACTGAGTGACAGAATGAGGGGGACTGTCCTTGAGGGGTCAAAGAAGACAGAATCCAGAAGACAGTGTGCACCTGTATCTACAACATAAATGATATTGGGGGTCAAAGGGGCCTGAGCTTGGCCTAGAATCACAGGTATTTTCCCTGCATGTCTTACAGAAGTTTTCTCATTCTAGATCTCCATCCATGAGGGGATTCAAGTTCTAGGTTTTGGAACAAAGACACTGTCTCCTATTTAAGCTGGTCCTGTCCCTCCCTGGCTGTGTTTACACCTTGAAAGTCAGCTTGGAGAGGTGCCTGGGTGGCTCAGTCGGTTAAGTAGCCGACTTTGGCTCAGGTCATGATCTTGCGGTTTGAGTTCAAGCCCCGTGTCGGGCTCTGTGCTGACAGCTCAGAGCCTGGAGCCTGTTTCAGATTCTGCGTCTCCCTCTCTCTGACCCTCCCCTGTTCATGCTCTGTCTCTCTCTGTCTCAAAAATAAATAAACGTTAAAAAAAAAAAAAAGAAAGAAAGCTTGGAGCAAACCTTAGCTCCTACCCTTACTCTGTGCTTGCAAACAAAACCCAGTGAGGTAGGACTCTGAAGCTGGAGTCCCAGCTCCAGAGCTGGGCTGAGCAGCTGTGCTGCTCTCTTTCTTTCTCCTTCTTTCTTTCTTTCTTCCTTTCTTTTTACTTTTTTAATGTCTATTTTTGAGAGACAGAGAGACAGACAGACCATGAGTGAGGGAGGGGCAGAGAGAGAGGGAGACACAGAATCCAAAGCAGGCTCTGGGCTCTGAGCTGTCAGCACGGAACCTGACACAGGGCTCGAATTCATTGACCGTGAGATCATGACCTGAGCTGAAGTCCAGTGCTTAACTGACTGAGCCATCCAGGGGTCCCGGCTCCTTTCTAACCAGAGAACTCAAGCAAGTCCTTTCTCTCCTCTGGGAACTCTCTTTCGTCCTCTGCTCGGTGGGGGCCTGGACTCTCTCCCAGGTCCCTTCCAGCTCTGTGATTCTAGGGCTTCTTGTGCTTCTCCTTCTGCAGATTCAACCAACGTGGCTTTCACCATCTCCATGCTCTTGGGCAACCTCAGCAGCTGCTGCAACCCCTGGGTCTCCATGGGTTTCAACAGCCACCTGCGGCCATGGCCGCTGTGCCACCCGGACTGCTGTGGGGGTCCCCGGCCCCGGCCACGCCGGCAACTCTCCAGCCTCAGCCTCTCCAGCCGCCACACCACACTGCTGACCTGCTCCAGCGGCCTGCCCGCCCTCACCCTCAGCCCCAGACTCGGTGGGGGCCCTGGGACCGAAGGGTCACTGAAGGACTCTGCGCAGGTGGATGGGGAAGCCTCCACAGAGACCGGTGTCTTTTAGGGAACACGTTCCTTGAAGTCTGGCATGCCTGCGAGGCTAGTGGAGGGTCTCTGCTCATTTCAACACTGGGTGTAAAAGCCGGGAGGGCCAAGGTTGGAGTTAGGGGAGCCCAGTTTGAGGTAGGGTGAGGGGCCCAGAAGGGCTGCCCTACCCTTGGTGTTGAAGCTATTTGCCCCCAATCTCAGAGGCTGGGAGTCAGCGAGAGTCAAAACATCTGCTTCCCTGACCCTGTGCATTCGCAGAGTGTCTGGGAACTCACCCCAGATCTCAGGCAGGCCGAGGACGGCCCTATCTGGGCCTCCACAGGGGGCAGGGACTCAGGCTGGTCTCCCACCTTGACCATTTGTCCCCCATCCTAATCTGACTAGCACACCCAGCCCAACCAGGAGAGGGGAGAAGTGAAAAAGTGTGAAAAGTATTCTGTTTCTCTATCTAGATACTGGATTTGTTTGTTTGTCTGTCTGTTTGTTTTGTAGAAGGAGGCTTCTTCAATGAAGGAAAGCGAATGGAGGTGGGTAGAGCAGATAGATCAGCTTTACCTGCTATGCCCACCTGTCTAGTGAAGGGAGATGTGGGATTTAGTGCAGCATCTATAACTAGCAAAAATTCTGCCAATGCTCCCTGTACCATCCACCTCTATAGGAGGGGTGACAGGACAAAGTAGATGCTCAGTGGAATGACCCCCTGGGAGGGAGTGTGAGAAGGATGAGAAGAAAGGAGCAGATGAAAATGGTCACAATAAAATTAAGAGTGGACGAAGCCTCCAAAGCAGCAGGGATTGGTTTCTTTTCTTCTTCCCCGAAGGGATCCACACTGCACCTTCCTCTGGGGCCACCCAGAGGGGACATCCATACAGAAAGTGGGGCTGGATCATGGCTCTGGATTTCCTCAAGGCTCTTCAGAGCTTCCCTACGAACCATGCATGCCGCGATGAAGTCCGCAGCCCAGGATTTGAGACTCGGCTCTGCTTTCAGGTAGCTGCATGACCTTGGGCAAGTCCCCTCCCTTCTCGGGGACTCTGTCTTCTGACCTGTTAGGACACAGATGATCTGTAAGATCTTTGCCAGCTCTAAACTGTCATGACTTTGCAAGACTACACTCTATGGTGTCACAGTAGAGCCTTTCTAACCAACAGGCTCTAGAAGAATTGTTGGATTTTCATGACAATGATATTTATACCCTTTGACTCAATTCTGGTCATGATGGATCCCTCCATGGCCACACTGTCTACTTTTGGTCTCAATTCTGTGATGTTGAAGCTGGGAGAGGCAGTGGCGTGGGGAGACTCTGAGGCTTTGCCCTGTTCCTCCTCGTTACCTCCAGCGGGATTTAGATCATGGGGTGGTTTCCCCACCCTAATTCCGATTCTAATCTAAGGGATAGCCTTGATAATGGAGAGAGCATCAGCTGAAAAGTCAGAAGAACCAGATCCTGGTTCTACCACCACTGATGACCAACATGGGGAGAAGTCTGGCTTATCCTTCATCTCTGTTATGAGGGTCAAATAAGACTGTGGATGTAAAAGTGGTTGGTAGAGGCATGAGCTCTCTACTAATGTAAGGGGCTGATTATCTATCCTGAGAGCAGCTCTAGGGAACAGATTCTCTTCCCTCTACTCCTAAGGAAGCTGTAGGGAATGACTGTAACTTTGGGCTTTAAGAGGTCACTCAGCTCTGAGAAGCCTCCTTAGGCTTCCTTAAAAGATAAGAACTCAGTAAGCAAAGTGTCCCAAGCCTTCAGTGCTAAAGAACCAGAGAGTGGGACACAGACCCGGATGGGGCCAAGGCTCAAGGCAGATGTGAGGGCCCATGGTCTCTCTTCACTGCATTCTGTTGCCCCTGTCGGTTTCTGACATCCAGCCACTTCTTCCTTGTCCATCTGTCTTGGCAGAGCTGGGCTCAGGAGCCTCCCATGGCAGTATGAGTGCTGGAGTTTCTCCTGGCCTTCGTGTGTAAGCCAGTGACCCTGCCCCTCACCCCAAATCCCTGTCCTTAGTGCCTGAGTACCGAGTAAATCATTGCTCATCATGATGACTGGGACACCAGCTTTATACTCCAAAGGCCTGGGTTTGAGCTCTGCTCTCACTCCTTTTCTAGACATATGAACTTGGGCAAGTCTTCTAATCCCTCTGAGCAATGGTTTCCCCATTTATTAAACAGGAACAACTAACCTTGTTGGGGACGGGAAGGTTGTAAGACCATAAACTATAGAACACTCTACTGATGTTAGAGAAGATAACGATGCCTCTGGTGAGTGACCTCCAGGCTCCCTGTGGGAAGCAAGAAGGATGGTCTCTGCTCTCTCAGGTCAATCTCACTTCTGACAGCTAAAAACAGGCAAAATGGAACCATGCTGTCTCTGGGCTAGGCACTTCTGTAAAATATTTATACATCCTGTGGACTCTGTGAAATACAGTACTTCAGTCTCTTAGAAGCCATGTGGGAGCAAGGGGCAGAGGGTGGGCAGGGCAGAAGATGGCAGGAGGAGGTGAATTGGTGGACTGTGGAGATTTCTCAGAATGGTTTTTTTCTGATGTATGGTATAAACCAGCAATTTTCCAGATGTCTATGTCTGTGATTTGTATGTAAATAAGTCTTTTATTTATCAAGGAGCTCTAGACTCAGCCCAGGCTGCAGTAGCTCACTTGGGGTCAAGAACGTGGAGATGCGGTTTAAATTGACCAATAAAAGTCCTTGATAACCAGGAAATTCCTGGGCATCTTTGTTTCCTAGGGGCAGTGACAATGAGGTATGCAATATGAAATAAAATTTGCTCTTCTTCTTCTTTTTTAAATGTTTATTTATTTATTGTGAGGAGAGGCAGGGAGAGAGGGAGAGAATCCCAAGCAGGCTCTGTGCTGTAAGCACGAACCCAAGAACCAGGAGGCCATGATCTGAGCCACAACCAAGAATGGATGCTTAACCTACTGAGCCACCTGGGTGCCCCAGGTTCGCTCTTCTTGAGTGGGGTGGTGATGGGGAAGAGAGTTTGAGGGTTGGGGAGCCACCTTCTCCTACTTGAGGGAAACAGGAGTGTCCTGGGATTTGCCCTGGAGCCACAAGGTGGCAGTGTGGAGCTGAAAGTGGGTCTGAGGACGTGCTGACCCACAGGACAGGCTGGGAAAATCACCCAGCCTCTCAGCTCTAATACCTACTACCTTTTCCTTACAGATCTGGAGTCTTGGCTCTTCATTCGACCCAGTTGTCCAGAGATACCTGGATGCATGTTTCTCTGTCTCTAAGCTCATGGAGGATGTATTTGCCAAGAAAGGGCAGAGAACAAGGGCAGGGTGAGGGACTGAGGGTAGAAATTCCTGCCTGAAAATGAGTGTTTGAGAAAGCTAGTGGGACCTCAGAAACACAGATGAGCTGTAGTTATTATAATGTGTTCAGTTTAGAGGCTGGGACTTGGTTAGAAGGCCTTTTGGGAGCCCCTCTGGGCCTGGAAATGTGTCCTGATCCCGGAAGCAAAAAGCCTACTGATGGTGGGCATAAAATACCTCCTTACCCTATTGGGTCTTGTTGGCCAGTGATATAGTGCGGCTTATGGAGTTCTGCTGGAGTCATGGTAGGAATTTGGATGCTTGATTCTTTACACCAAGACAGGTCACGTTTATTGTTGCCCACTATATAGTCCCAGTTCATTATTGGTATGTAATCAACGATTTACTCGTTGCCAGCAGAAAATCAGTTTCTCTGCATCTTGTAAGATAAATTTGGAGAGATTTTGAATCCAGTCCACACTCATGGAGGAACCCAGAGTGGCACAGCACGGTCCTTCCCTGGATGTTCCGATGGCATACAACATGGGAGAAAGTGACTTCATTCTGCTGGACACTGAGTTCCTCAAAGAGGTGACTACTCGGGCGACCACTCATACAGATTTACACAGCTGACCTTCTAAGATCACGGAGGTATTACATACAATAGGGACATTTTATTTCTAGCAACACGGATAACAATGAATTTGAGGATCACTTCAAATTATTAGCTGGCCGCAGTCATCAGCTTGTTGGCCCAAACTCCTTAGGACATGAAATCAGCCCTTCCCTTTCCTTATCAGGGCAACTGAAAGTCAACGGCACCATCAAAGTTCAATCCAATCTCTGTTAGTCACACGTTCGACTCTATTTAGAAACAGCACTCTCCAAGAATGCCTTCCCTGGACGAGCGATTGGGGCAGGTGCTAATGTTAACCTCCACGATGTATTTATTTGCTACAAATGTCATAGCTTTGAAACCAATTGTAGCAGAGTTCATTACAGATCTTAATCAGATGGTCAGTGGCATTCAGATCTCTGTGCCCCCCGACATCAATTCCCTGCTCCAGGAGGCCTAGTACAAACACTTCTCCATGCAGTTGGGTCTGGCTCAGTCCCTGGGGCATTGCTGGGGAGCCCAGCAACAGGAGCAACAGGCAGACCTGCTCCCTTTCCTTCTGCCTCTTCTCCCATCAATTTATTTTTCACCCTTCTTTCTAAACTGAGGTCAGAAATCACCCTCTCTGGGACATTTCCTCGGATGAAGTCTGATTTTCACATTCCATACCCAATCTGCCCAAGCAGTTAGAGGGTCTGCTCTCACTGCTGTATGTCAATTCTCTTTTGTCACATGTCTGGTACATGCTCTTGCCTGTCCCTGGGACTAGGTCCTAAGTGCCTTGACCTCACCCACCTGATGTTTAAGTCTTCTTTTAACATGTGCTCCTCCCAATCCCAGGGCTTTCCAGAATCCTGCAGAAAGCAGGCACCTTTTCAGTTGTGCCCTCCCCTGGTGTGGGAGCGGTCTCAGCCGTGTCCCTGCCCAGCCTCTCTCAGAAGCATGGTAACTCTTGTGAACCTCTTCAACACACCCTTGACGTCTTTTTTCTTCTTGTTAAAAGAGATCAATAAGAAATAGAGTTTCATTTCTAGATACAGAGACAGTGTTGCTGGTGTTTATTCTTCATTCTGCCTCTCTAATCAACAACATCTTTTTTTTCCTTATTAAGAAAAGTTTCCT